GTAAACTGTAGTACCTCTGGTATGCAGATAATGCTGAAAGAAAATTAAGTATGAGTAACAATTATGTCCTGTTTCAAAATCAGTAATACAAGAAACATTAAACATTAAAAAAAAAAACAAAAAAAAAAACATTATAATGAGCTTCCCACCAAAACCACCTCCCAGCAGACAGTGATATTTAAGACCAAATAATTTAGAAGTCTGAGGTCCCCCTACTCATAGTCAAACACAGTAACAAATGTCAAATATAAAGAGTTCAAGGGTGTAAAACTATGGTCGCATGTCAGACCTGCACTTGAACAGAATCTAGGCTACTTCTTTAATCTACCTGATCTTCCTCAGAGACCAAATCTGATAAGAGAATTAAGACTTTCCAAGGCTACTCCAAAATATGATAGGTTATTTATTTTTACAAGGGCTCTTTACTTCTAAGAATGACTAAGAGCTCAAAAACCTCAAAGGGCAAAGGAGTTATTTTGTCTGTGAAGCTTCCTTTCATCCAGTCAACAAGAAATTCACTCCACAATTATCTTACTCCAACTCAATTCCAAAATAGGACATCCTATAACCCTAAATCCACCTCAAAGTATAAAATTAAAGTAGTTCCTATCAATCTAAAAACTCAGTGAGGAGGTTAAAAGGTAAACAAAAAGTTATATATGCATATTAGAATTGGTAGAGATCCCTTTTTAAAAAACTGGTTAGCAATAGTAAGTCATGGGGATGTAATATACAACATGGTAACTATATTTAAAAGTTGTGATCACAAGAAAAAAAATTTTGGTAACTATGTATGGTAATGGATGTTAACTAGATTTACTGTGATCATTTCCCAATATATACTAATATCAAATGCTATACATCTGAAACTAATGTTATATTTCAATTATACCTCAAGTTTTTAAAATTACTTAGATTTTCAAAAAAGATTTTCAACAAGTATAAATAGGAGAAAATGGAAATTAACGTTTTCTAAAATTCCATTTGTAATGTTTCATATTGTTTATCAGTCAATACCCTAAATACATATCAATACCATAGAGAACTTTCTGAGTATGTATAAATTAGAGAAGCATTAGCCAAAACATCACGTATCTAAACAAGTAACTAATTTGAATAATGTCCACCTTTTTGCATAAAGATGATGTCAACCAACCTATTATTGGAAGGACACTTAGACTATAATTTTTCCAGTTTTAGTGAAGAGTTTATTTCAAGCCATCCTCCATTTTCTAGTTCTAAACTCCTGAGTGTAGTGAGCTCAGAAAAGTCATTAAGTAATGGTCTTCTAAAAAAAGGAACAAACTAACTTATCCAACTTGTTGGTACAGAACAGTCAAAAAAGGCTTGTGTTCAGAAATCACCATTGATTTAGATCGCACAGTAGATAAATGAGGTGCTCGCATCCTCCCACAACCACATTAAAATTACAACTAAACTACAGAAAAACCATCATTCAAAACTGCCTGGAATCTAGCTGAAGAGAAGTCCAATAAATAAGGACGTAGAGTCAAAGCCATGTGGAGACTGGTAGAGGGGCAAAGATGTGGAACACACTGGTCCCACACCCATCTGTTGTAATTTTAACAATAAGGAGGGATATCTTGGCTGCAGAGGTCTCCCTGAGTAGGCAGGAGTCCTAGAACCACACCAGGCACCCCAGTCCAGGGTTCCAGTGTCAGAAAGAGAAGTTCCAATAACTTCTGGCTGTGAAAACCAGTGGAGATTGTGACCAAGTGAAAGGGAGGGCTGCTGAAGTCCCAGGTGTTACTCTTAAAGGGCTTGCACACAGAGCTCCAGCTCTGGGACAGCAGCTCAAAAGGCCCCAGGGACACAGGGTAAGGAACTGAACTGTCTGGATTCAAGGCAAGGACTGAAGGGGCAGCTTTCTCCCAGACAGAGTACTGACAGAGGCCATTGTTCCTCTGCTGGCAGACAGGTGCTATATTTGAGTCTCCATCAACCTGGTTAACATTGTTCGCTAGCCCTGGTAATTCTCTGAAACCCCACCCCATCTAACATGCAGGTCTACCCAAGGCCTTCCCAGTGGCTTTTCCATTCAAATGGCCTGTCTTGCCGACCTTCCTAAAATCTCTCAAAGTTTCACAAACCCCAAACAAGCAGCATCTGGCCTCAGCGTGCCATCCATACCTCTTACTAAAGTGGCACCAGGCCCAGCACTAGTGGGAGCCAGCCATGGTTTACAGCTTAGCCTCTCCTGAGTACTTCCAAGCTCAGCACAAGGAGCAGCCACCTGCAGATTGATTTGTAGCTCATGCCAGGTGGCCCTGGGCAAGGCAATTGAGGTGGCTGGCCTTTGCATGCACCTCCCGGAAGGCTTCAGACCCAGTGCAACCAATGGACAGCTTCAGACCACGCTGAAACATCATCCAACCAATTCCATGAGCAACACAATTAAGGAGTAGCTTCACTGGGCACCAGAGTACCACTGAAATGAGTCCTGCTCCATGGGGTTGGCCCATGCACAGCAGTTCCTCCACTGTGTTCATGACCAGTCCATGCAGCCAATCAGCCTGGTGGTAAATCCCTCCCACTGACATGCCAACAGCAATCAAGGCTCAAGTACAACAGAAGAGTGCACGGGAGGAAGTGAGGGTGCACCTAGCGTGCCCATCTCAGGTGACTGGGGAGATTGCGCCACTGGGCCCTACAGGATACATGCTACATAAAGCCATTCTACCAAGACCAGGAGAGGTAGCAGCTCTACCTTATAGAAACAAACAAACAGGGAGGCAGCCAAAATGAGGAGACAAAGAAACATGCCCCAGATGAAAGAACAAAATAAAACTCAAAGAAAAGAACTAAGACAAAATACAGACAAGCAATCTACCAGATGGAGAGTTCAAAACACTGGTTATAACATTCAAGAAACTTAGGGGAAGAATACATGAACTCAGTGAGAACTTTAAACAAAGAGATAGACAACAAAAAAAGAACCAGTTAGAAGAATACAGTAACTGAAATGAAGACCACATTACAGGGGATCAACAGTAAAGTAGATGAAGTAGAGGATCAAAACAGAGATTTGGAAGATAAGGAAGCAGAAAACCCAATCAGAACAGCAAAAAGAAAAAAATAATCCAAAAATATGAGGATACTGTGAAGAGCCTCTGGGACAACTTCAAGCACAACAACATCCACATATCATAGGGATACTGGAAGGAGAAGAGAGAGAGCAAGGAACTGAAAACCTATTTGAAAAAATAATGACAGAAAACACCCTACCCTGTTAAAGGAAACAGACATACAAGTTCAGGAGAAGCAGAGGGTCCCAAACAAGATGAATCCAAAGAGGCCCACACCAAGACACATCATAATCAAAATGCAAAAGGTTAAAGACAAAGAAAGAATCTTAAAAGAAGCAAGAGAAAAGCAGTTAGTTAACTACAAGGAAGCTCCCATAAGACTATCAGCTGATTTCTCAACAGAAACTTGGCAAGTCAGAAGGGATTGGCAAGAAATATTAAAAGTGATGAAGAACAATGACCTACAACCTCTACCCAGCTATCATTTAGAACTGAAGGACAGACCAAGAGCTTCCCAGACAAGAAAACATTAAAGGAGTTCATCACCTCCAAACCAATATTACAAAAAATGTTAAAGGGTCTTCTTTAAGGAGAAGGAAATAAAAAGATCAAAAATATGAATTAAATGGCAATGAATACTTATCTATCAACAATTACTTTAAATGCAAATGGATTAAATGTTCCAATCAAAAGACACAAGGTGACTGAATGGATAACAAAACAAAACCTTACATATGCTGTCTACAAGAGACTCACTTCAGATTGAAAGACACATACAAACTGAAAGAGATGCAAAAAGATATTTCATGAAAGTAGAAAGAAGGGAAGAAAAAAAAACAAAAACCTGAGGTAGCAATACTTATACCAGACAAAGGCTATGAGAAGAGATAAAGAAGAACACAACTATTCCACTTCTGGGTATCTATCTGAAGAATCCCAAAACACTAAGTCAAAAAGACATATACATCCATATGTTAATTGCAGCATTGTTTACAACAGCCAGGATATGAAAGCAACCTAACTGTCCACCAATAGATGAATGGATGAAGAAATGGTGCATATATATAAAATGGAGTATGACTCAGCCATAAAAAAGAATGAAATCATGCCATCTACAACAACATGAATGAACCTAGAGAGTATTATGCTAAGTAAAATAAGTTGGAGAGAAAAAGACAAATGCCATATGATTTCACTTATATGTGGAATATAACAAAATAAACAAAAAAGTGGAACAGAAACAGACTCAGATACAGAGAACATTTTAATGGTTGCGAGATGGGGAAGGGGAGTTGGGGAGATGGGTGAAAAAGGTGAAGGGGTTAAGAACTACAAATTAGTAGTTATAGAATAAATGGTCTTGGGGGTGTAAAGTACAGCATAGGAAATGTAGTTAATGTTTTAATAACTATGTATGGTGTCAGAGGGGTACTAGATTTATTAGGGTGATCACTTTCTAAGTTATATGGATGTGTAATCACTGGGTTGTACACGTGAAACTATTATAATATTGTACATCAACTGTAATTGGGGAAAAAAATTTTTAAGTTTTTTTAATCACCACTGATTTATACATAACAGTCAAGAAATAGGTGCTCTCTCTCTACTGCTGGATGTGAACAAGGAGGCATATATCACTAACTGCCACTGCAAAGGGAACTATTCTTAGGATGAAGCCCATAGAAGATACTAGAGGAAACAAAATGCCTGGGTACTTCTAGACTTCGACCTATACCTAGCACACAATTCATCTATGAACTTCCAATTATGTGAGGCAATAAATCTCCTTATTGTTTAACCTAAAATGAGGTCCTTGATATTTGTGCCTAAAAACATCCTAACCAGTACAGGACAGGGTACCTAACAATTTTTTACAGTATCATACCAAGCCTGGACTGCCCTTCTAATGATGTTACAGAATTTCAAATTTGAAGGGTACGTTTCCAATAACCTGAATAATATATATTACATGACTTCATAAAATTC